TCATTCCAGAAAAAGACTGTCCTTTACTTTAAAATCTTGCTCAATTTAGCTTTCCTTCCCCCAGTAGACAGTAACAGCTCACTGTCATTTGTACCATATGTGAAGCGTTTAGGATTCCCATCCCCCAAGTCTTATTTGTAATTGGGAGAACAGATTCAGTAAATTTAGTTTGTTCTTGCTTTACCTCCCCCCGCCCACATACCCCTGACATTATTAATAGCTGACAATTTACAAATTGCTTCCTACTAACATGCTAACATAGCAACATTACTAAACATCTATACTTGTTCCAACTGTGAAACATTTATGATACATGCGTGTTTGGTTTTTGGTCACCAGCTTCCTGAAGATGACTGAATTCCTGCTTCCCCCAAAGCTAAGGTTGATGTCAGAGTGAAGAGAACCTGAACCTGCTGGTGCTTCTACCTGAGCCAGACTGCCAGCTAGTGTCACATAGTACAGTTTATGAGCCCCTGATGGCAAAACAGAGAGACAACACACTCAAATTCCAGGACTCTAGTGGCATTCTCTTTTGGCTGTCCTGAAAGAGCTGTACAAAGTCAGAGCTAGGGCCTAGGGGAAAATAAGTAGGAGAGTAGTGAGTGCTTCCTGACCTTTTCCAGTTTCTAAATTTGCCTTTGACACTTTGGGTGGGTGGGAAGATAAGACTTTAAAATGAAAACAGATTCCCCAGATGAAAAAGAGAAAAGTGGCAATGGCTAGCAGGAACTCTGTGGGAGGCAAACCTTGTATTAAGTTTTGATTTGGTTTGGTATAAACTGGAATGAGGATAGTTTGTGCCAGAAGGAGTTACAGCAAGAATTTTAAAATAATCTTTCAATGACACACCCAGTTAGGTCTTTCCAATGACTTGGTTAGGAAATAGTAAGCTAATGGTAAAGTAGACCTCTTTCTTCCTGGAGGCAAGATACTTTTTTTTCGGGGTGAGGCTAGGCCATTGGGGTTAAGTGACTTGCCCAGGGTCACACAGCTAGTGTCAAGCTTCTGAGGTCAAATTTGAACTCAGGTCCTCCTGACTCTAGGGCCGGCACTCTATCCACGACTCCACCTAGCTGCCTCCAAGATACTTTTTACTTGGTATTTTTTAGCATGTTTTAAAAATAAATTTTTATTGATGTCTTGATTTTGCATTTCCTAAGTTTCTCCCAGTAACCCCTCTCCTCCCTCCCAGAGGGCCATCCTATATAACAATATATTTAAAAGAAAAAGGGGGAAGAGGAAAAAAAATCTTTGCTTGATATTGATATCCTTTTTTTCTACCTTTCTAACCTGCAAGGTTGAATTAGCCTTGGAGGGAAATTGGGTTTTTGTTCAGGGACTTTTGGGGATAATGTGTAACTGCAACTTGAAGTCTTAAAGAGTTGCCTAGAGCACTAAGAATTTAGGTGACTTTCCCTTGGTTATACTGCCAGTATATGTCAGACGTAATACTTGAACTCAGGTCTGGTTCCAAAGTCGGCTTTCTATCCACTATGCCATATGTATATGTATATGTATATGTATTATATGTGTGTATTGTTACTCATATGTAAAAATAAGCTAGAGAAGGAAATGACAAATCATTCCAGTATCTCTGCCAAGAAAACCCCTTACAAGAGCATCCAACAGGACCAAAAAATAACTTAACAAAAATGTGTATATGTGTTACGTGTGCATATGCATACATACACATAATTATAGACATACATATTCATTTGCAGGACTTCCGCAGTTTGCTATTGATTGCCTAACTGACGACCTAATCCCGGGAGCCAGTCTTGATTGTTCCATAGACCACTGAGAGTAGTACAGCTTTGAGCACTCTGGCCGTTTTGTACACCCAGTGGCTTTCCTCACCCTCACTTGAGCCAACTGATTTACTTACTGTTGTGTGACCTACTGTGGCCACATCTCTGAGCTATATTCTCCCTAAAAGCAAAACATTACAATTTACTTTCTTAGGAGGCAGAATTAGGACGCCTTTCTTGAAGATGGTGGAAAAAATGTCCAGGGAGAGATCATGGTGTAGCCTGAGTTACATGAGGCTGGTGGGAAGTGGGCTGGAAATACAGACTTGACTGGGCCTAGAACTTGAGGAACCTTCCTTCTAGTTCAGGGATGAATTAGCATGTCAACAGGAGAAAATGTCATAGAATAACGAGTAGGACTATGGAATTGTACCTTGCACACAAATGTATGATAAACCCAGCCACTTTCAGGATCAGTTCCGTCCCTTCTCTCATTTGCCTTTCCAGGTGTCTGTGCCATGCCTGTCTTTGGGACGGGCCTAGTTATGAATCATTGAGTTATATGAACTGTTCCTAGGAGTCTATCCCCCAGAGTCCACCTGGTTCTTACTTATACAAGTTTTGGTGTTGGGGGTCTGAGGTCTATATCCATGACTATTCAATAACTAACAACAATACTAATAATTATAGCCAGCACTTTAAGGTTTGCAAAGTGTTTCACATGTTTTACTCATTTGATCCTCTCAATGACTCTGGGAAGTATGTGCTATTCCCATTTTATAGACAAGGAAACTGAGGCAAGCGGCAGTTAGCTGACTTGTGTAGAGTCACACAACTAGTCTGAAGAAGTGAGGAAGGGGGGCAGCGAGGTGGCACAGTGGATAGAGCACCAGCCCTGGATTGAGGAGGACCAGAGTTCAAATGCGGCCTCAGACACATAATACTTACTGTGTGACCCTGGGCAAGTCACTTAACCCCATTGCCTAACCAAAAACAAAACAAAACAAAACTTAGTTCTGTTCTCTTAGGTAAAATAGAACAAGAAGAATATGTGAAGAAGTGAGGAAGGATTTAAACTCAGTTCTTCCCAATCTTTCCATTGCACCACCTAGCTACTGGGTAGTATTTATGAAAACTGGTATCTTAGTAGATCTGACAGAAAAGTGTCTTTATTGAAGATAATTTTCTAAAACCCTATCATTTACATAATGCAAAATGCTTTCCCCCATAACAATTCTGTGGGAGAGATGGTACAGATATCTCCAGTGTGAAAAGACTGAGGCCTGGAGATTGTTATGTGTCAATGTAAACTTGAGTTAGTTTAAGCCTGGATTTGAATTCAGGTTTTCTGACTTGGAGTTCAGGACCCTTTCCACTGTACCACAATGCCTCTTAGTGTCCTAATAAAATCAGTAAGGACCCGGGATTCATCATCTACCCTACTGCCCATCTCCCTCCATACCAGCCATTAGTCCAGGGCTAAAGACCCCTTTACCTCCATCCTTCCCCCCTTGCTGATATTCAAATCAGCATTACTGTTGGCTTTTAAAAGGGTTTAACAATCAGCTTATTTTTGTCATTGTGAATTTCAGGCTGCCTAAACTGAAGCTCTTTTCTCAAGCTGTAATCCCCTAGCCTTGTAGCCATGGCAGCCCTATCCTTTCTGTGTACCTACCCCACTCTGCTCAGTCCTTCAACTATGCCCTCTCCAGACCCGATGCTCTATTGTTAACACACGCCCACTGCTTGGAAATTACTTTATGAATATTTTGTATTTGATTGGCTATGCACAGGCATCCTTCCTGCCTAACAGTCCTTACTCAATAATTTGTTTCTCAAAGGTAGGGACTTTTACTTTTGTCTTTGTACCCCAGAATCTGGCACATAATGAGTGCTTAATACATGTTTATTAAATTGAAGTTGTGTCTAGAAGTTCTCCAACTATTACACTCTGTCATTTGTAGTGGTAGCCATTACCCAACGGAGTTCATGTTTTTGCCCTTCTTTGGTCTTCCTCACTTCCCTTTCATTATCTACACAAGTATATACCTGCCCACATCCATGTCCATCAGAATTTGAGCAGGCCCATGGGGAATGAGGTGTATCCCATTATGATTTTTACTTCCCTCAAAGTTTCTGTGGCATTAGTGTGTTTTCTGTAGTATTTCTTCTGTGCCTTTCTGTATTCCCTTCCCAGGACCTGTAAACCTGTGATTTTCCACTCTGAACAACCTGTTAAATGAAAGTAGTCAATTCTTCCCTTGACCACACCAGCAACCTGGCACTTATGGGAAATAATGGAGTTGAAATCTTCAGTCTGATCAGGATCTGTTTGTGCATAGTTGAGGAAGGGGTGGTTCAGAGCTACCAGAGTACCACTGAACCTTGAGGCAGATAGTACTTGGTCGCGTGGAGGGTTTCTTTGGGAAGAGGCTTCTGGGATTGCAGGGGTCTGGAGCATGGTCTTACTCCTCTTCTCCCAGCCAAACAATCTCTGTAGGAAGTAATTCCCCGAGGCCGAAAAGGGGAGGCTGCAATGTCCCACGTGGGAAGGTCTGGATCTCAAATCAGTCATAGTTTTTTGGAACAATTGCTCAGGGAAGAGCCAGCTTTGCCTACCCTCTTGTACAAATTGAGGTCGTGACAGCCTGTGCTTGGAACACTGCTCTTCTCTAGGTGATTCTATAAGGCTACAGATGGCATACCACAATCTTCAGAAGAATCAAAATTGCAGATGCCTTAAAAGGCAATGGAAAAATACACATTGGGTATAAAATGTCTGTAGGAAATGTCCAATGTTAACTTAAACTGAGAAGTGGAAGGATCAAAGAAATGTATGAATAGGAAGTAATAGGGAAGTCATAATAAGAGGGAGGGTTAACAGATAGACTGAATGCTGCATTATTATTTAGAAAAACTTGGAAGAAGCAGAGAAAGACATCCAAAGGGTTGGGTTGATCATCTATGGAAGAGGATTTATCAAAAGACCTGGACAAGACTTGCATAGGATAAGAATTGGAAGGAATATAACGTGCCCCAATGCTGAGTGCCCACATTAATGAAATCGTACTCCATTAAAGTAAGATTTACTTTAAATATATTAAATGAAAAATTTCTAAAATTAAATTTTGTTTGTTTTAAGTCATAACTGTGTAATGTTTTCATTAATTAAGCTTTGGCTGAAGCTCTTTAAATGATTTTTAAATAAATTTTTATTAATACCTTAAAAAAAAAAGTTGAGGTTGTGAGCTGTCATTGAAGTAGCTCCCAGGTTACCAGGGGCAGCAGGAGTGGGGTTATCGAGGCTGAGTTCTCTGCAGTGCCTCCACAGTCCTGGGCATTTTCCTATAAAAATGGGGGGAGAGATGGTCAGTGATATCCCAACTAGAGGGTCCCCCTATAATGGAAAATTGTGTCATTTGTATTTCAATAGAAGGCTTCGGACCTTCATTGTAAGACAAAGGATCATAGAATTTAGAGCTAGAAGGGACCTTTACCCTAAGAAAATTTATGACAAATATTCATATGCCATGGAAGGTAGAACTTTCTACTTTATACAAATGAGTTGTTTTTTTTTTTAAAGTATTGTGCTAACCCTTCTTCCTCCTGTCTTTGTATGCCAGGCATTTACTTGCCTTTCCCATCCCTAGTCCCAAAGGAATTCACTACCTGTGTATTATCTCCTTAAACAAAGCATTCAGTAGTGTATTTCAAAGCCAAATAAGAGAATACTTAGCAGGAACTTGATAACTGTCTTCAAGTGTATGCTGTTTATCTCTTAGAGGACAAAATTGGGGAAAATGGATGGAAATGACAGAAAATTGGATTCTGACTCAATACAAGGAAAAACTGCCTAACCATTAAAGCTGTCCAAAAGTAGAATGCCGTGTTTCACCATGTAATTGTCACACTCTGTTTTTTCAGTCCAAAAATTGGTTTATAACCTTTCACCAAGTAATCATAGCATGGCGTAATTCTTTTCATCACACTACTTAAAAAGTAAGCAGAACATCAATGTATTGGCCAGTGGCATATGGATATGTATTTATCTCTTGTGCATTGCAAGCAGCAAGCCTCGAATTCTCAAGCGCACCGGCATTGTCAGTATATTTTGGAAAGGTGATTTATGTGGTTTGGGTAGAGCGCTGCAGTACCAACGGTATTGTCCCTCAACCCAGTGAAGAACCCTAGGCGCAAAGGGAGCGGGTGGGCAGGCAAAGCTGCCATGAGTAAGTCACGTGATATGGTAAGACCTGCATGTTCTCATGGTAGTTAAACTTTGTAGTTCGTCTCCCGGCAATACAGTTTAGTAACAATTTTTAAGTAATACCAGCACATATTTTTAAAGCTTCACATAATAGTCACACCCTACTTTTTGGCAAAAAAATATTTGGCATAAAATGTGCTATGTTTATGTGATGAAATACGGTAGGCTGCGTTTTTTTCTTTTTGGTCCAAATCTGTGATTTCACTCCCATAGGGTATTCTGTATGAGGAACTCAGTCGCAAATAGCAATTGTTTTTCAATTTACTTAGTGTAAGTGCTTGGGGCCTGCTGTCACCCCAGGAGGATGTTTGGTGATACCTGAACCCAGCCCTTCTTGATTCCTAGGCCCCGTGATCTAAATTCTAGAAAAGTGAATTCTGTGAAGAAGTGAATTTTGGAGTCTTCCAGTGGAGTTTGAGTGGCCACTGGTAACGGATGTTGGGGGCTCCTGTTCGAGTATTGATTGGATTAAACGGCTAAATTCCTTCTAACTCTGAGACTGATGATAGGATTGATTAAGGAGGAATTTCGTTTGGATTATCAGTAGTTTTGAACTATTGATACTTCTGATCCTTCCAAGAGCTGCACAAATAAACAGCATTGAGTGTAGTGGGCCAGGGAAACCTGGAAGCAGCTGATTTCTTGCTAACTTCAGGTTCAGACTCAGGGAGACTTGGTGTGTGTATTATGTACCAGCATACTTTCTGGCCCTTCTTTTTCATACATCTATATGAGAACAGAGGTATACTAATATGCACAAACATCCATGGATGAATGCATGCACATATACACATATATTCTTCACAAGTTCATTCATATACATGAATGCATGTGCATGACCACATATCCAATATCACATTCCTAACTGAGAATTCCCTCAGCAAATGGAAATTTTTTTTTTTTTGCATTTGGGGTTAAGTGACTTGCCCAGGGTCACACAGTTGTTAAGTGTCAAGTGTTTGGTCTGAAGCTGGATTTGAACTCAGGTTTCCTGACTTCAGGGCCGGTGCTCTATCCACCATGCCACCCAGCTGCCCCGCAAATGGAATTTGATACAGAAGAATTACAAGCTACTACCACCCATCTCCTATCTTCTGTTGGCCCTATCCCAGGCCTTCTCCAGCACTGGGCCCACTTTGCACCACTGTCTCCTAATTGGGCTCCCATTCTTCCTCTTACTCCTCCTTTTTTTTAGGATACAATATTAGGATACCTGCCTTGAGGGAGGACCTTGAACAATCTAATTGCCTATCACTCTCAGTAGTTCTCTCCAGCTGCTAATACACTTCCTGGACTCACTCCTTGATAGTTAGCATACTCCTATCTTCCTTCTTTTACTCTGTCCATCCCAGTGGTTCTGAACTCCTGACTGCTAATATTCAAATGCTAGTCCCCATCCCCAAGTGCCTGCTCCATTACTTCCATCTCCCTCAATCCTACCTGACCAATGTGCCCCTCTTGATGTCCCCTATCTTTGTCCCATACTCTCTGGAATTCCTTTCACCATAAACTTCTTCCTTTCTTACTCTTTCCAACTCCTAGCACTCTCCAGAGGATACTTTCTATGCTACCTTTTCCAGTTCTGGGTACACCTTCCATACTCCCTGATTCAGTGATCAAAGTGGGAGACTTGAAATACTCCTTGTTCCCCATTTCCATTTACAGATTCTCCCCCCATGACTATCACTCAATAACTTCTCTTTTGAGGTTCATGCTATACAAATCACCTAAACCAGAGCCTGGTAGCTGTTGTCTGCCAACCCCTAAAACATTCTCCTTCGTTCTTCATTGAAGACTGCTCAGTATTTCTCTTTGCCACAGTTCCTGCCCTCATACTAAGGAATTTTAACATACATTTTGATATTCTCTCGAGTACCCTCACCTCCCAGTTCTTCAATGTGATTAGTTGCCATCAACCTCTGATACACACGGAGAAGATTATACCCTTGATCGTGTTGTAAACCACAAGTGTTCCTCTTCATTTTCATGAACTCCAAAGTTTCTTTATTTCTTTGTTCAAGATAATTTTCTAAAACTCGCTGTCATTTATATCATAATCTTTTGTTGTTAAATGCCCTATGCCATATTCTATTTCCCTTAACCATACTCTCCATCCTCACTGTGACCTCCATTTCTTCTACCACTCAGTTCTTGTCCAGGTGTCTGCACTGCATTGGCTGCACTCTCCTCCCTTACAATTCTCAGCCCCTTAATACAATATTACACTATTTTCTGGTCTGGAATCCTTGTACTCCCACCTTTTTATTGTCAATCATGCCTTACCAAACCACACCACTGGATTATTTCCTATCATGTGCTAAGAAACTGAACTGGAAAAGGTCATTAAATGGTGCTGATTGAGTATTCTACAGATTTATGATATCTAATCTCAATGCAGCAAGGCAATTCTACAGCTCTCTAATTGATTTTCTATCCCACTCATCATAATGGCTTTCCAAACCTTTTTGTTTCTAGTCAAGTCTCCTAGGACTCCCTCCCCTGACCCCCTTGCTTCAGATTTTACTCAGAATTCAGTGAAAGAATTGAGTCATTAGCTGGTACTTCCCTCTTCTCTCTTCCTGTCATTTCATATCACTCAGTCAACTTTCCCTACTATCTCTTCCTTTACTCCTGACTTGAATGAAGAGATCTCCTTTCTTGATAAGACAGATCCCTTGATGTGCCCCCCCATCCCATCTTTTCCTTTCTTCTTCAGCAGATTGCTTTCACTCTCTAATTTTCAATCTCTATTTCCTGACTCCTTTCCTTCTATGTACAAATGCACCCATATCTCTTCCATCCTTAAAAAATCCTCTCTTGATCCTACCATGCCTGCTGGTGACCATTTTATGTCTGTCCTTCCTTTCTCAGCTAAACTCCTTGAGAAAGCCATCTATGTTAGTGGGCTGTGCTTCTATTTTCACTTTTCCTCTTCATCTTCTGTAATCTGGTTTCCATCCTCATCATTCAGCTTAAACTACTCTTTCTGAAGTTTGCCAATGATCTCTTAATTGCCAATTCTAATGGCAGCCTCAATCCTCATCCTTCTTGACATCTCTATAGCATTTGACACTATTGATCAGCTTCTGGAAACTTTCTGCTCTTTGGTCATCATTGTATTGCTCTCTTCTGATTGTTGTCCTACCTATCTTACTTTTTCTCAGTCTTCTTGGCCTTCATTCATGTTAGCCCACTAATTATGGGTCCCAGAGCTCTGCCCTGGGTTCTCTTCTCTTTTCCCACTATAGCATCTTACTTGGTGGTCTCATCAATTCCCAAGGTTCAAATATAATCTCTATGAAGATGAGTCCCAGGGTTCTAAGCACAGCTATAGTCTCTCTCCTGAGCTGTAGTTCTATACTACCAACCACCTAGTGGATAGAGTTGGATATACCATAGGTATCTCAAATTTGACATGTCCAAAACAAAAGTAATTTCCCCTCTCCAATTCTGTCCCCAATCTCTGCTCCTTTTTCCAAAATTCCTTACTACTGTTGAGGGTTCCACCATCCTTCTTGTTAACTGGGGTCACAACCTTGTATTTATATTTGATTCCCTCCTCTCACTCATCCCACGTATCCTGTCCATTGCAAAATCTTCTTGTTTTTACCTCCAGAACAACTCTCAATATGTAACCTTTTGTTCCTACTCATACAGCCACCAATGTAATTCAGACCCCCATCACCTCTTGCCTGGACTTGTAATTGTTCCTCCCTGCCTTCTCTTTCCCATTCAGTAAAATCTGGTTATACCCAATAAACTCCTTATTACTTCCATGATCAAATATAATGTCTGCTTTTTAGCATTTAAAGCTCTTCACAACCTGGCCCCATTCTCCCCTTCCATTTTCTTTGCTCCTCTCCATAAACTCTACAGTTAGCTACACTGGCTTATTTGCTATTGCTTGAACATGACACTCCATCCCTCATTTCTGTGCTTTTAGCACTGTCTGTTCCCCAATACCTGGAATGCTGTCCTTCCTCATCTCAGCCTCTTAGTATCCCTGGCTTCCTTCAAGGTTCAGTTCAAATTCCAGTTCCTCTATGCCCAAAGGGCTATAAAACCACGCATATGCTTTGACCTAGCAATACCACTACTAGGTCTGTATCCCAAAAGAGATAAAAAAACAAAAAGGAAAAGGACCTATATGTACAAAAATATTTATAGCAGCTTTTTTCTGGGAGTAAAGAATTAGAAGTGGAGGGGATACCCATCAGTTGGAGAATGGCTGAACACATTGTGGTATGTGATTATGATGGAATACTATTGTACTCTTAAGAAAAGATAAGCAGAATGCTCTCAGAAAAACCTGGAAAGACTTGCATGAGCTGATGCAAAGTGAAATGTACTGTGTACAAAGTAACTGCAATATTGTAAGATGATCAGCTGTGAATGATTTAGCTATTTTCAGCAATACAAAAATCCAAGATAACTCTGAAGGATTTATGATGAAAAATACTACCCATCCCCAGAGAAAGAACTGATGGTGTCTGAATACAGATTCAAGCATACTTTTTTTTTTTACTTTATTTTTCTTGAGTTTTTTTTTCCTTGTCTATGCTTTCTTTCACAATATGGCTATTATGGATATGTTTTACATGATTACACATGTATAACCTTTATCAAATTGCTTGCCTTCTCAGTAAGAGTGGGGTAGTGCAGAGAGGAAGGGAAGGAGGGAGAGAATTTGGAACTCAGAGTTTTAAAAAGGAATGTTAAGAATTGTTTTCACATGTAACTGGGGAAAAATAAAATACCAAATAAAAGCTTTTTAAAAAAGAAAAAAATCCCAGTTCCTTCAGGAGGCCTTTTCCAGTCTCTTCAGCTGCTAGTGTCTTTCTCAAATACTTTCCATTTACTCTGTATATATTTTATATGTACCTGGTTATTTACATGTTTTATCCCCCATTAGAATGTGAGTTTCTTGAGGGCAGGGATTGTTTTTGCCATTCTTTGCACCCTCAATACTTACTCACTCTCAATAGTGAGTGCCTAATCAATGCTTGTTTACCGACTGATCAACCCTTCCACCTCTCCAGGATACACACCTCTGGATGAAATGCATGGCAGGTGTCTGGTCGCCTTCGGAGTTTCTGGGAGCGCATCCTGTCACACTTGACAGATGCATTATGTATATCAAATATTAAGGTCAATAGTAGGAGCCCAAGGGCTGGGGATAGACAGGGAATCTAAATTTAGCATTAAAGATAAAGGCCCAGAAGAGCACCAACCCCTCTGGTGACAGTCCTGCTTTCTGAGGCAGCAGAGGGTAGCAAGAGAAAGAGGTACTACAGAGGGGGTGCATGAGTCCTAGGAAGAGGTTGGAACTCAATGAGCTAATGTAGGGACAGAAGAGAGAAGGGCTGGGGTATTCAGCACCTGAAATATGGAATAATCCTGATCACGTACACCTGTCCCTGCCTCCTCTTCGCCTCAAACCAGCAACAGGCAGAATAGAAGGATATATTTGACTTCTGTGGCCTCTTGAAGGACAGGTGGGAACATGCTGCAGTCACAGGTGGAGTCAGTCACTACAAGAAGAAGGTTACTGTTGGGAATCCGTTGAATCACAAACATCCTGTAGAAAGAGCAACAATGTAGTCAGATGCACAAATTGCCAAGACACTGGACTAGACTTTGTAGGGAATAAGAAAAGAGTAGGTATTTGTGAACTTTGTAGGTGATTTGGATGTTGGCTTGAATTTTTATTTTGAGAGGCTGTTTTGTATTTCCTTGTTTTCCCTTGGTTGGGGGAAGGAAGAGGGCAAGTTAACTCAATGATGCCGTAAGGATTGAGGGTAGAGCACTCTAAACCTACCATGCCATAAGAAGCCTTCCTGATTGGTTAAGAGTTCATTTTGTGTCATAGAATGGGTGAATAAAGTTGGTCTATAGTGCCTAAATCGCCAAATCCCAAAAGCATCCTGGGGCAGGGTTGGAGAGGAGAGGTATTCAGGATCAGAAAACACCATTATCATTTGGGGGAAGCCATAAAGGAGTTTAAATCTCCAGAGTAGAAAGATAATGAAACTGGGCTTGGGGAACTGAAGTCCTACTATACCTCCCCCTTAAAGGGCTCAAGTAGTAAAGGTAGAAGTGAAAAGAGAGGCCCAGAAATGTAGAAGGCCTCAGCATCCCCAAATACCCCCACAGGAAACACCCTAGTACTGAGGGATGAAAAGTCTTGTCTTACTGATGCTTCTACCTATCCCCTAGATTTTCCAGAGGAGGGAATTTGAGGAGTACTTCCTCCCACCCACTTGCCTGACAGACAAAGCTCACTCAGAGTTCTGCATCCCCCACCTCCCTTCTGTGGTCTTACTTTCTACAGCCTCCACACTCCATAATCCCATTGGTCTCCTGGACAGCGGCCTGGTATATGAACACAGGGTATTCTGTGTCACAGGGCAGCAATATATCCTGCTTCTTGTGCTTGTGGGCTGTGGAAAGACAGAGAGAGATAGATCAGTACCCAGACAAACCCAAGGAAGATGACTAGACAATGTAGGAGCTGAGGCAGAAAAGGTGGGGGAGGAATTAGGGGAATTTGGAAAGAGAGGGCAATTGAAACAGTGCAATAAAAATATAATAAAAGAAGGGAGTCTTTCCTCTGCAAACTAATTAGCTGTGTGACCTTGGGCAAGTCATTTTCACTTATTTGGGGCTCAGTTTCCTAATATGTGTAAAACATTGGGGAGGGCTGCAGAGGGAGTATGTTTTGTGTCTGGAAGTGAAAAATCCTAATTTGGAGGGAGAAACTTTGAGGAAGGAAAGCCCTAGAGAGGAAACATTCATGTTAGTACCCGATACACAGTTGGGAAGGGATGGGGGGAGCAGCTGCTTGTGAAGCCTTCTTCCTCTCTGCCAGGAATAAAATGGAGTAGAAAAATAGAAAGGATCTCCTGCTGTGACAGTGATGTCTGATTCCAGGCTGATGTATATTAAGTTGAGAAATGCCGAATGGCTAAAATTTCGTCTCCCATACCAACTCTGCATGCAGAGCAGAGGGAAAATGGGGCTTTGCCCCAGAGTAATGACATCTTTGGAGGGATAGTATGCTTCCTCCCCAAAGCAACTGCCACCCCAAAGTCCTCCAGAGGTGTGGGCAATTTGCCCCCCCGCCCCCGACTTCTGTGCTGCAATGCACCCCTCCCCCAACAAATAAATTTGTCCCAAATGCAGTTTCAGTTAATTATGTTTCTTTCTATCTGCAAGAAACAGCTCTTCTGTCTGTACTGTGAATCTTCTTGAGAACTATACTTTTAGGGTTTCCCCTCCCGTTGTCTGGGAAAGAATGTTAACTCTATTGCTTTGCTAATTGTTTTCATTCTAATCCAAAGTTTGATTTTTAAAATATATGGTCAGCTAGCTTGGAGCAAATGGGAAATCAGATGACTCTACGAGTTCCCAGTTGATCTGGCCTAGAGATTAAGCTGATTGAGGAACACATTTTGCCAAAAATCTGCACGTTGAACCCAGTAATCTATGAGTATTTCAGAATGGGGTGAAAAGTGGGCTGCATATGTAAAATGAGGGAGTTGGATTAAATGATCTTTAAATTCCCTTCCAGTTGGCTATAAGGGTAGTGGCCAAGAGGATTTTTTCAGTTATGGGTTGATTTAGGTGAGCATTGAGGTCCCTTTGACTCCTAAATTCTATGATGGCGATTCTTTGGTTTTATGAAAAGAGCTGAAAGCAAAATGGAGTGGGCTGAGAGCTCAGCCAGTAGGTGGCAGGGGAGAATCACCAGAGAAAGTGAATCCCCACCTACAATGATCAGGACACTTTTCAGGAGCAGCTGATCACATTGCTATGCCTCAGAATCCCCTTGAGTTAGAAACATGGAGAGAGGGAGAATCTGTGATTAGTATTGGTAAGATGCTTTTTATCCTTCATAGGAAAAGGCCAAACTGTAATATGTAGAGGCATAATAAGGAGGAAAAGTGCCCTGCAGAGACCACACATACAGGGACCGTCTTACTCAAGCAACCCTGCAAATCAGCACTAGCTCACAGGCTGAAAAAAAAAATGAAAATGTTATTAATTTTCTGCCAACGTTCTATACTGGTGCCTCATCGTAATAGTACAGAGTTGAGTCTGGATTCTTGAATGCTATCAAGACTTATTGTTAAGTCATTTTTCAGACATAGAACTGTGACCCCATTTGGGGATTTCTTGGCTGAGATACTAGAGTGGTTTGCCATTTCCTTCTCCAGCTCATTTTACAGATGAGCATCTGAGGCAAACAGGTTTAAGTGACTTACCCAGGGTCATACAATAAGTAAGTATCTGAGACCAGATTTGAACTCAGGAAGAGGAGTCTTCCTGACTTCAGGCTGGTTGCTCTATCCACCGTGCCACCTAACTTATCCTGCTAGAAAGGCTTTAAATATGTGTCTTTTCAAGTATAAGCTTAACTAAGTTAGGAGAGGTCTATCAGACAGAAGACTGGCCCTAGGTAATGTTTTAGCTCCTGCATTGGTACAGTGCCCATTTCAGGGAAATCATCAGTTCTCAAATTTATCACTATCACCACAGTTATCTTATTCTTCTCTTTTTAAAAATTAGGTTCAGAATAGAAAAAGTCCAAGTATAAGTTGCTATTATTCTTATATATTTAATTTTCTGTGGATGATTGCATAGATGGATAAAATGATTAGTTTTTGTAATTGAGTAAGAGTATTGGATATAACATCTTCTGTAACCTCCTTCATTGAAAGCACCTTCAGGAAAACTCTAGTAGCAGACAGGATGACAAGAATGGCATAAATCTCATCATGTTCTACCGTGGTTTTAATGTCTTTCAGTAGGTTTCTGAATTTGAAAGCTTTTCATTCCATGTGAAGGCAGCTAGGTGGTGCAGTGAATAGAACATGGGATTTGGAGTCATGAAGAATTGAGTTCAAATCCTGCCTTACGGTAGTATCTTATCACACACTTAGAATCTGTGAGATTTTGGGCATGTTATCTGTCTTAGTTTCCTCATATGTAATTTGGGGATAATAATAGCATCTACCTCACAGGGTTGTTGTAAGGATCAAATAAGTTAACATGTAAATCACTTTGCAAACCTTAGAGCACTATATAAATGCTGGCTACTATTAATTTGGATTGAGTTTTCAACATGATTACATTTATTAAAGACATTGTTCTTAAATTTTTATGAATCATTATTAATTCTGGGCATTTGTAGGCAACAGTCTTGTCTGATTATGCTCCAGTTCCAAAACAATGTTACTTGTTGAATTCTCAAGGATATTTTGGGATTTGCATTCATAATATGGATATTTGCCATCTATTTCTTTATAAAAGATGGCAAACATTCAGTGTATAATTCCAACTACACATTTTTGTCTAAGTATTGGTTAATCAACAGATGTTAAATTTTTGCAATCTGTAGTGATCTGTTGCACAGTTTCCACCACGTCATTGCACAATCTGCACTTTTGTAAGTTCTGGTGGCAATGGACTGATACTGAATTGCCGGCATAAGCCCCACTGTTTCTCTAACCATTTCTGAAGGACAATGACTCAACCATTTGTTCATTGCTTCTCTGTTAACCTATTATTGATTGAATTCGTGTGTGTGTCACCCGTGGACTGCCTTTTGATTCTACTCTGGGATTTTTTAAAAAATTATTTATTTTTAGTTTTCAACATTTACTTCCACAAGATTTTGAGTTCCAAATTTTCTCCCCATCTCGTCCCTCCCCCCACCCCAAGATGGCGTGCATTCTGTATACTCCTTCCCCTAATCTGCCCTACCATCTATCTCTCCCCCTTCTCTTATCTCCTTCCCCTTTTATTTTCCTGTAGGGCAGAATAGATTTCTATACCTCATTTCCTGTATTTCTTATTTCCCAGTTGCATGTGAAAACAATTTTTTTTAACATGTGTTTTTAAAACTTTGGGTTACAAATTTTCTCCCTCCCTCCCCACCCACCCTCATTGAAAAGGCAAGTAACTTGATACAGGTTATACATGTATAGTCATGCAAAACACTTCCATAGTCGTCAGGCTGTGGAAGACTAAGTATACTTCCCTTCATCCTATCCCGGCCCCACCTCCATGTATTCTATTCTCTCTTTTGACGCTGTCCCTCCTTAGAAGTGTTTGCTTCTGATTACCCCCTCCCCCAATCTATCCTCCCCTCTATCATCTCTCTGCTCTCTTGTCCCCTTCCACCCCCCCCATTTTCCTGTAGGGCAAGATAGATTTCCATACCCGATTGATCTACTCTGGGATCTTAACTGCTTCATAGGATCCATCCAGAGATAAATCACTTTTGGTCACATTTGACAAATCTGTATACCTGTTGTCAGACTTTTTGAAGTGAGGTGTATTTGTTCCAAAAGTATTTTTGTATATTTTAAATTTATTTATTGTATGTTCTGAGAACATTTATCAATCTTTCTCCTTTTTGATAAGCAAGTATTACTTTTTCTATAGCTGTCTGTATTTCTTTAATATTGTACACATTTTAGTTTCTATGCCTTCTAGATCTGTTGTCAACAGGTGTCAATTGCTTTTTGTTTCTCCCATTAAACATTTACTTCAAGTTGACAATCAGTCTCTTAACATACACACTCAAGGTGTCTTGCCTAGAGAACAAGGTATTTTTAAATATCATCTTCATCTATACCAACTCAGTTTGGCCTCCAGATTCAAGCTCTAAGCCTTTATTTTCTATTCTTACTTCTGTAGCTCCACATTGGAACTAATTCCTGAAGGTCAGAAAGGAGTTTCAGAATGTACTTCTGGTAGATGTAGTCTTCTCAGTCCTGGAGGACTGGGGAGCTATCATGGACCTTAGTCTGGAGGGTGAAGTTTCTTGATGCAGTGGGTGCTTTTGAATCATCTGTGAGAGATAGACAGAGGTAGCACTGGTAGTGGCAGCATTCCCCTGGCAAGGAACTGTGGCCAAGGAGGAATGGGGGTGGGTGGGACAATAGTGGCCATTGGATCTCTTACAGGAATTTTGCAATATGAGTCCCTGGACTAGAGAGGAAGCAGATTTTGGCTTCAGCAGCCCAGTCTTTGCCAAATGGAGCAAAGAACTTAGACTGAAGCTTCTAGGCAATTCAGCCTTTAAGAATTGAGAAAGCAGTGAGTCTCCCTCCCACTTCTGTCCAAAAGAATGGATGTTTCAATCTTAAGTTCCTTGTTTCCTTAAAGCTATTTATTTGCTATTTTCAAAGTATTTTAAAGCTGGCTATCTCCGAATAAAGATAAAGTCAATCTTAACTGCTTTGGGGTACTGGTTATTTTTAATTGTGTACAGGGAATGCCGATGAAGGTTGGAGGGGACATTCTAGTTGCTGGCTTGAATACACAAGAAGTTAAATAGGTAAGGGTACTAGCCCTATTCTGTTATTAGTCTTCAGAATCTGATCTGGTGGCTTGACAAGGTGAGATGATTTATTAATGACATGTATTAAAA